AGAACAACTCTGAACCACTGAGATTGTTTCACAAATCAGAAAGAATCACAATGACAACCACTTAAATATTCACATTAAAACTTGACTTAGAGCAATTTGATTGGTCGATTTACACTGTAAAATGTGATTTTTTTAAAGTTGTAAATAAATCAAAGATTAAGAAAATACTATTTCATTGTTTCTACTTTAAATTTTCTCAATCCAATGTGTTACTTGCCATATCTTTGTCACTGTTTGTGAAATTTACTAGCAATTTCTGATTAAAAATTTTTTCAGACATGCATTAGTCTTAATCTGTCGTGTCTGAATTTCTCAGTACTATGTTATCTCTCAGTTTACTGCTAGACTGTGTTTAAGACACAAGCATGTACATGTGAGCATTCACACACACACTTTGTTGTCTGGGATTTACATAGCAATGCAACTATTCATAAATAAACACACACACACACACCCGACCAAATGCATTACACATCCATGCGCACTTATAAATAATTGTGTTGTCAGGGATTTGCATAGCGATGCAACTACTCAGAAATACATCCAAAACACCCACCGAATACATGACACATTATTACAGTAGAGTTATTCTGAGAATGTCACAATCTCTCAACCACATGAAAACACACACAGACGATTCCTCAGAACTGCTCATATATACAGGGCATGACTTCTGCAGAAAACTTATTTTAAGTATTGAAGAAATTGTTTCTTGCAAAAAAGGAGAATTTTGCCATGATGTTCCGAAGCTGAAATACTTTCTATTTTCCATGGAACATAAATGGAGAAATGCTGAAACAATGTTCTTTTTTAAACAGTTTAAGTATAGAAATTTATGAGGGGGGAAAAAAAAACAATTGGCGTATCATAGTTTAAATTCTGGCTTTTTTCTCAGAATTAAATTATATAAACTCACAATTGCAAGAAAAAAAGTCAATTGTGAGTTTGTCTTATAATCTTTTGAGATATAAACTCACAAATCTGAGAAAAAGTCAGAATTGCAGTATATAAAGTCCCAATTCTGACTTTTTTTTCTCACAATTGTGAATTTTTCCTCACAATTCAGACTTTTTTCTCACAATCGCGAGAGTTTATAGCATGCAATTCTGAGGGTAAAAAGTCTGAATTGTGAGATGTAAACTTACAATTGCAAGTTATAAAGTAGGCTACAAATTGTAAAAAAATTAAAATAAAATAAAATTCTTTACAAGTTTGTATCTCCCAATTTGACTTTATAATATTTTGAGACATAAACTCACAATTCTGAAGAAAAAAAGTCAGAAATGCGAGTTTATATCTTGCAATTCTGACTTTATAACACACAATTGTACGAACTGTGAGAAAAAAAAGTCAGAACTGAGATAATAAAATTTCAAGTATTTATTCTGTGGAGGAAACGGGCTTCCATAAGAAAGTTTGTATCAACATTAGGGTGAAAAAATGACAACATTTTTCATTTTCTCTGAGCTGTTCCTTTAAAATCATCCATCCCGGGAAGACATGAGCGCATGATCCCAAGATTTCTCACGTGCTAATTTTCCTCCCCAAAGTTCATTTTCTCACCGTCGTAAGGAAGTTGAGGGAGGTCAAATCAGCTTCCTGGTTTTGATGAGAAAGAGAGAGGCAGACAGAGGGAGGTTAGTTCAAAGCAGGTGACCGCTTTTAATATTTCTGCAAGAATGACAGTGCCATTATGACATCAGGTCAGCGTATCCACGGCGACAGAGAAACACGTTGATGCCGAGAATTACGTCATACGCTCACACAGCGTCGGTCTGCACACTCTGCTCTTGTTGATTCGGGCTGGCTTTAGATTTATCCGAAACGTCCATCGCTTCGCCTGACCAACAGAACGCACAAAAGTAGAGGTCGACCGATATGGGTTTTTCACTGGACGATGCCGATATTTAGAAACCAGGGCAGCCGATTGCCGATATATGATGCCGATTTTTTGGCCGATTTTCTTAATTTTTTTCCCCCTTCATCTCATAAAAGTGAGTTTGAGTAAATGATTATTGCAGCCAGGGTACAAGATAGTAATAGTAGTAGTAGCCTAATTCAGAGTAATAATACATGGCTCAAAACTTAAGCACCTTCTCAAAACAGTTCTGAAGCATGCTTTTTGTTTATGTTTGCTGACACACACCAGTGTTTCCCACAGACTTGCAAACGCAAATTCATTCTCCATGAAAATGACATCGAAGCTTTTCTGAAGACGGTAGGTTCTTTCGAAACGGTCTGTTTTGCCCTGCCATCATTAGCTGAAGCTGTGTGTGAACAAGAATCGGCTGCAGAGTGAGAGTTGCTCCATCTCTCACGCAGCCAGAGAAAGATTCTCCGGTGTTCCGCAACAACGCTTAGCTGCCCGCAGATGCACCTGCCTATAAATCGGCCTAATTTGCAGCATAATGCTGATTATTTAAAAAATGCCAAAAATCGGCCGATTAATTGGTTGACCTCTACACAAAAGACAAACAGGCAAAACAAACAAAGCGGGTGTATTCGAGCGCATGGGTGAGCGCACACATACCCGTCCCGTAGACTTCCTACAGGTCGCTACAAGACAGGACACAACGTGGACCTGAACAAAACATGCAAGGAATGCGGCTTCACAAACCCTCTCCGACTTGAATAAAACAGCCAAATTATGTCCGTATATTGTTCAAATTAGGTTCATTCTCAAATAAGAAGCGCCCTGACATGATGTATAAGGCTCAAACACATTCAGCCCTGCTAAAATGTGCTTTTCTCAGGTGTGTCACAAAGGAATGTTCAGGTGAATAACGCCTCGGGATAAGCATTCTTTCCTTTCCCACAAGATCACTTCCATTTCACTAAGAAAACAGTTTGATTGCTAAGGAAATGCATAGTTATGGACCAATACCAAAATCTTATTGGACAGTTTTAAATGTTAAGATTTATCTTAAGTAATTTTTTTTAAAGAAATGAATATTTTATTCAGGAAAGATGCATTAAATTGATCAAAAGTGACAGTAAAGTCATTTATAATTTTACAAAAGATTTGTATTTCAAGTAAATGCTGTTCTATTGAAATTTCTATGCATCAAAGAATCCTAAAAAATAACATGTATAACAGTTTCCACAAAAATAATAAGTAGCACAACGGTTTTCAACACTGATAATAATCAGAAATGTTTTTTGAGCAGCAAATCAGCATATTAGAATGATTTCTGAAGATCATGTGACACTGAAGACTGGAGTAATGATGCTGAAAATTCAGCTTTGATCACTGGAATAAATTACAATTTAACATATATTCAAACAGAAAACAGATATTTTAAGTTTTAATAATATTTCACAATGTTACTGTTTATCCTGTATTTTTGAGTAAATAAATGCAGCCTTAGTGAGCAGAAGAGACTTCTTTCAGAAACATTAAATAATCTCATTGACTCCAAACTAATAATTAAAATAATAATAATATTTTATTTTATGTAGGCCCTTCTTCAGGCACTTTGTGGAGTAAAAGCAAAACATTTAAATTAAAAATACTACATATTTATAGAATTTTATCTGTTTTCAATCTATATATTAATCAGTCTATAACCGTTCAATCTAGTATTTCAATCTGAATTTCTAAAAATGTTACAATGTACAGTAAGAAAGACGGATATAAATGCATGAAAATTTTAATAAATATAAATATTATTTTGAAATTATACCATCTGTTTCCAATATCAATCCAATCAGCAGCCAATCATTTAAAATAACTGCACTGCTCAGTAATGATATAGTAACTGATGCACTGCATTGTTCATTCTTAGTAACAGTCATTAACCGAAAATTATCTTTTTATTACAGCAATATCCACTGAGCAACAACAAAACTTCCCCTGCAGCCTCACCCTAAACCCTGACCCGATCCGGGCGTCCAGGACAGCTGTTTAGGTTGAGGTGATCAGGGGGATTGAGTTTCCTTCCCACCGCCGAAAGAAACCTCCTGTCGCTTTCCGTTACTAGACTCACCACAACCAGATAGACACATCTAGAGAGACAGACAACACACACTCCAGTCTGTGTTGTCATATTCCTAAACTTAACATGCAACATGACAACATCCAACTGTGTCTAAAGAAAGCCAACGAGACTGACAAATTCAACATATTTAACTAATAATGACAAATGCCTCCTTCAGCACAAGAAACATGACAAAGGCAATACTGTCACACCAAAAAAACATATTTGCATTTGGATACATGACATCCAGTCTTGCATCTAAAACTTACTACTTAAATAACATTTGCATAATAAATGCTGCTTTTATTAAATAATTTTACTACATAAAAACAATCAGAAAATTAACATGTGCATCAGTTTTGCTGTGCATGTAAATTTGAATTATTATAGTAATATTCAAACAAATGTTATTTGTCAACTGCTCTTTTAAGAATAATTTCACATATATCTTAATGTAAGAATACAACACATACAAAACGCACACATGAACCCTTGAAATATTTCTAAGACAAACTGTGCAGCCTAATCACACAGTCAACAAGACGAAAATGCATGAAAATTAAATAAACCTGTGCAGAACACATTGCATTAAACTCATAACTTCACTTATTCCTGTCTCTGTGTAAAATCAGTCTGTCTGAGCATGAGATTGACACCAGCAGCAGGCTGGAGAGTCTCTACTGTTTGCAAGTGAGCAAGCATTGATAAATGCATCTTTAACTGCACAGACAGGCGGACAGAACTGCCTCTGCTCGTTTGCATGCGTCTCTCGGTTGAACAGCACCGGGATGATCCCGTTTAAATGTCCCGTGCGCCAGCGCGAGCTCTGGGTCCCCAGCGGGCGCTAGCGCGTGCTAACGGACACTGATTTATTCCACTATTTCTGGGTCGAAATATACATTAGACACCCGTGCATTTGGTGCATACTTAAAAAGAACATGAAATGCGTTGATTAAAGAGTGAGGAGCTGTTAAAGTGCGATCTAACCGGGCCTACAGACTCAACGGGCCGGTTCGCGCTTACCGTGCTTGCTTTCTATTTTCCCCGACATGATCGCTGCGCTGGACGGAGCAAATCCTCAGTTTGGACAGTCACAGGAGGACAAAATAAGGGATTTAGACCACAGTAATCCCGAGTTGTGTTCTTCAGCCACACATTTTCACGTACTCGGTCCGTGTGGCCGTAGATCCCTTAGTAAAAAAGGGCAAGAATCCGTTCACAATGCACACGCTGGCGACAGACAGACAGTGAACGCTACTGCTAGTGTGTGTGTGTGTGTGTGTGTCGAGTCCCGTCCTAAGGATCCATTGGGATGCGAACACAGCGCCGCTCTCTGACTGGAATCACGAGCTACAGGGATGAAAATGGGCTTGTTTGGCGTCAGATCGACGGCAATAATTGAGCTAAAACACGTATTCTGTCATTATTCGCTTTCTTTCGTGTCATTCAAAAGAGGTTTTAGTTTCTTTGTTCCGTGGAGCACAAAATGAGATGTTTGTCAGAATGTTCACGCTGCTCTTTTCCATACAGTGAAAGCGGATAGGGACTAAAACCGATCAAAAACTCTGAAAAGGACAAATTAAAGCTAGAATAAAAACAGTCCACACGGCTTCTGCTCTATATTCCAAGCGGTTGTGACATTTATTCCTTAAAATTAATGGTATTTATTTTTATGTCACAGTAAGCAAACCAGTAGTCATTTGCTACTAGTCTCTCTATTATATTCCATTGTTGCTGGCTAGTGGTTTACTGATATGGGTTTTCAAATGCTGATGCAGATACAGTATAGAAAGATGGTCAATAAATTGTTGATCTATACGTAATTTTGGCTAATTCAGTGATAGAAAATGATATGTACACATACATACTGAAATAAACTATTTTTTACAAAAAAATTTTTTTGCACAATCTATACTCATAATATGCTAATAACAATTACTATTAAGGATACAGTATGTTACTATTTAGTAACTTTTTATCTGGTTTGTTTTTTCCCCTTGTGTTAAAAATACTTCCTAACACAAAGTAAAATAACACATTTCATTTCTAAAATTATTTTAAAAATAACTACAGTAAATTCAATTACTTCAAAGACATTCAAATAAATAAAACATCACAGAATACTAAGTGTAGAGCACTTTCTAGTGTACTAAAAACTCACTGAAGAATCTGAAGTGTGGCTATCTGCTGCCACCCAGTGGCTAAATTATGAAATCACAATATTATTCGAAATAAATGTTTTCATTCTGCGAAGTAGGCACAGGTTTAATCATTTTCTTAGTGATATACCGTGAATAGCTGTCAAGACCATTTTTAATAAAAATTCCTAAATAGCAAATGCTACAAACTCAATCATTTCTAGTATGGTCAGTGACGTGTCTCCTTGTCATATACAATAAATAAACAGACCTATAGTAAATTAGAGAGAGTCACTTTGGTTAATTTCTCGAGGTGAAAGAATTTCACACTAAAGTTATAAGTGTTTATTAGCGGAGAGACACTAATGAGGCGATTTTGTGGCGCTGCAATAACATCGTTCACCGCTAGATGGGGCGCTCGAATTCATTTCATTCATTCATTTATATTATTTCTCTCATTCTCATCTTTTGTCCTGACTGAAGAAAACACTTAATCAACAGCAAATGTTAACAAGATAATTGTGTTCTCTTTTTTATATAAACTTCAATGTTCCTTTTAACAGAGAGAACTTCTCTCCTAAAACGACATAAATACTAGTTTGAAGCCTTTAGTTGTTCTGTTTAGTGTTTATAATACTTACAGAACGGTAGAGAGTCAAATGCATTGCGGCGTCTGTCAGTATGTGTGCACCACGCGGGGAGTTTGATCAGATCATGTCGATATCTCAGCTGGAGCGTTTGCTCGGGTCTGTGGGAGATCAGAGCAGTGCAGCAGGGATCGTTTGATCCGCCTGACTGTCAGCGTGAAGAGAATCATACAGATACAGACAGATGAAAATACTTCAGATGGAGGAATGTTTTGTCTTTCGACCTCCAGCATGATGACATATTGACTGATGCTTACACGTCCTCAAATACACAAGCAGAGAGAGTGAGAAAGGTCAAAGGTCATCCTCCTAACCTGCTCAATATCTTGCAAGAAATAGAATGATCTGTCAAGTGTGACACAAATTCATACATACACCGACACACACAGATAAGGTCAAGAGGAGACTCTCACTCCACACAGCAAACTGCTTACACACTCGATTTCAACACAGAGCTCTGCAGTCAAACACACACACACACACACACACACACACACTGTGATTTAAGCATTTCAGTATTTGACACATTCTATAAAAGGTGTCTCTTGATTTGTAAAGAAATAAGACATGAATCCTGATACTATTAGAAATACAAGTAAACAACCTTATTTTTTTTTCTCAATTTTTACACACATTATAGTTTAGAAACATATAGATTTGTTTATTAAACAGTGAAAAATGAACTGAAAACCAACTTTAAAATAG